AAAACCTTGAATTTGCGCTATATGTCTGTTCAGGCGTAATTCATTTCTTTCATATTATGTGCACCCACACTTATCATATATAATTTTGTTCAGGAGAAACAGGGCTTTCAAAACAAATCAAATATTTGTATATTAAACATAATTTAATATGAATAAAAGATAAAAAATGAGTAAGAAATGTTGTTATAATTTTATTTCTGCATTACATTTTAACTGTGAATAGCATAATACTGTTAGCTGTTACTGCAATAATGTACACATATTTGTATTCAGCATTGTCTCATGGGTAAAACAGTACCTCGCATGTATAAGTTTTATGGTGTTTTGGAAAGTTACAGGGTCAAATATAGCAGATTACATTTTTCAGTTTATAAACATTGAAATTTGCCAGACAGTTATGTTGCCTTTGAGACCGTATGGTAGCCCAGGAATGAAAATTACCCCCGTGATGGCATACCATTTGCAAAAGTAGATAACCCAAGGTATTGCAAATGCAATATGTGCAGTCTTTTCTAGTTGCCATTTAGTCACAAACACTGGCCAAAGTTAGCTTTGTCTACTTTTGCAAATGGTATGCCATCATGGGGGTTATTCTCATTCCTGGGCTACCATAGGGTTTTAAAGGCAACATAACCATTCAGGCAAATTTCAATGTGAAAAAAAGGAAATTCATGCCTTATATTTGACTCAGTAACTTTTGAAATCACCATAAAACCTGTACATGGGGGGTACTGTTATACTCGGGAGACCTCGCCGAACACAAATATTAGTGTTTCAAAATAGTAAAACATATCACAACAATTATATCATCAGTGAAAGTATTGTTTGTGTGTGAAAAATGCAAAAAAATGCATTTTTACTGATGATATCATCGTTGTGATATGTTTTACTGTTTTTAAACATTAATATTTGTGTTCAGTGAAGTCTCCCAAGTAAAACTGTACCCCCCATGTACAGGTTTTATGGTGTCCTGGAAAGTAACAGGGGACATGTGAGCCAAATTCTCTGGACTTTCTGCCTGGGTTGTCGGGCAGGTTCTTCAGATTGTAATTAATAAAATTACTTGATTATGTAAAAATATAATATAAATATATTTGTAGAATTGAAATTTATATGCATATATATAATTTTTTCCCCCTTTTTATTTATATATAGCTATAAAAAATATGTAGCTATATATAGATACAGATATGTATTTATAACGTCATTCTAAATGTATTTTGAATTTAATATATATGTATATTAATATCAAAATACAGTTAGAACAAATTGAAACTGGTATATAATTTTTTTAAATACATTTTTATTATTTTTTCATTTTATTTCTTTCATTTTTAAAAATGTATTTATTGATTATTTTTATTGTGTGTGTATATATATATATATATATATATCTACATATATATATATATATATATATAATTAGAATTATATATATATATATAATTAACGTCATTCTAAGTGTATTTTAATATTACTATATATAATTATATATATATATATATATATATATATGTATATATATATATATTAATATTAAAATACATTTTTATTAATGATGTATGTGTATATAAAAGTACTTAGATCATACATATTCATATACATATATACATACAAAACAAAAATAGTAATGCACTCCACCTTCCTTGATGTACTTGCCCGGTGCTTATCAGCAAACAGATACAGCCAAAAGTACAAGATAGTACAAGATAGCACTCCAGGGACTTCCAAGTTGAATGAATAAAACTTTTATTAGCTCAAAATAAAAATCAACGTTTCAGTCTGTATCACAGACTTTCATCAGGATGAGCTTGCAAATCAAATCCATAAGAATATATACCACTCACATCCCAGCACAATTAGCCGACCGCCACCCAAAATAAATTTTAATGTGAATTCTCCATAAAAGACACGAATACATAGTTTAAGCGAAAGTACCGAAAGACCGGTGTTCCCGAACGGTCTGGAAGTCCAGCGGTGTTCGTGCCGTTGAGTAGCCAATTTTAGTTCCAGGCACTTGACAACCAAACACCGCTGGGCTAAAAGTGAATCCAAGATGGCCGTCGCCGCGTGGTCGGAATCCAAACGGCAGCCACCCCGTGAATCAATTAACTGGGGAATGATACAATGTTGCAATCTGTTAATGGGAGCCACACAACCTCCTGTGTGTGGTCTCCCATTCAGTACTTTGTTTGTTTCACGAACAATGTTGAAAGTCACTGTTTATAAAACTACCATATGAATGCTAGTGGCTTTCTCGCCACTAGCATACGAATGCCCTCTATCCTCTTTTTAAGCAAAAAAACAACGTAGATTAAACAGCCTTTCTAGGACAACCATTAGATATATAAAGAAATAGTCTGAAGTGGCTAGGTTTGCCACAATAGATATATAATCTAAGTACTTTTTATTTAATTTAAAACTGTTTAATAATTTTTCCTAACTTTTTTACAAGCATGAGGCAGACAGTCTGAGCTCCAAGGCAAACCCCAGGATTGCAACCGACGTCGGGGGAACATCGGGGACCTGGTAAGTACAAAGGACGGCAGCGTTTTGGACCGCCTAAAAAAGAACGGCATAGAATGCCCTCTGTCCTTAAGGGGTTAACCTTGTTACTTCAGTCAGACAACCGGTCCTGTTACATCCTGATATGTTTAGCTCAGTGGAATTATACTCAAGGGGCAGCAATTGTCCAGAGCACCTGCCTTGCAAAGACCTCTCATTGTGCTGCTTTGGGAAATCTGTGATTGGACAATCACAGAAAGTCTAGGTGGGATTTAAAGGGGAGGGCTTGTAAGTGCAGCAGATAAGAGATCTGCAGCTTTTGCAAGCTGTTTTTAGATATTCCCCCTTACTAAATACAGCATAACTAAATGCACACATGCTTTCATTGGGGGTATATCTACTTAACAGTGTTTTTCTTTTTTATATTTGGGCAGTGGAATCTCCCTTTAATGAGCACTATTGATTGCAATTTACTATTTAATTTATAATCTCATAGGAGACCATTTTACTTCGTAGCTACAGTTGGATACATTTGGAGGCAAAATGTTGAAAGCTCTTCCTTCAGATTTTATGCTGTCAATTACGTCAAAGGATATGTGTTTTATATAAATAGTATCTTCTATCTATACAAAAAAATACATAAATAAAGAACTCTTTCACTTTAAGTGCCTATCTATTAATACCAGGACCCCCCTTCTTCCTCTCTCCAAGCAAATGTCAAAATAATTAACAGCATCAAAACATTTTATGGCTTCAATACATTTCCAAACTATTTGCTATTGTTCTGATATACTTTTTGATGTGCTTAGTGTAGGAAAACCAATAAATAGAAATCCTTTGCCATCTCAAATTCAGCTGAATTAATGGGATTCACGATTTGATGTGTAACAAATTCCTCATTTGGCTTCAGATGTGTTCTTAGACTTTGTTGATGTCAAACCGTTTTGAGGTCTAAATATCAACTGTGTTTCTCATTATCAGCCATCAAGATGTTTTGTATTTTGTTTGTGCATTGTTATTCCTTATTCAGAATAGAAACAACAGTTTAACATCTTCATTATGATTGAGGATGTAGAAAATGACTTGTTATTTTTTAATCCTCTCAGGAAATGTGAAATGTTTGATATAATTCTATCATAATGTTGATGATTAGAAAATGTAATATTTTTATAAATTTTACAAGCTGTCAAATTGCAATACAATGTGAATAAAGTGATATCAGCCCCAACCTATTATTCTGTTGCACAATTACTGTTCCTGAAGAACTCCTTGTCTGCTTAACTTCTACCGATACAGAGGAAAAATGACCACATATTTATCAGACGAATCTCAGCCACGAGAGAGGTCCAGTTACTAAGGGACATATGTTTTAACCTATTATAGGCTTTGTCAGAGAGGTACCCAAAGAAAGGGAAGTGCCCTGTGCAGGGGCGGACTGAGAGCCTTTGGGGCCCCCGGGCAAAATTAGATCCCAGGCCCTCTGAAGGCCAAATATATGTGCATTAAATAAATGTTAAATATAATTAATAATACGGCATTCCTTTGGATGTGTGTATTGTGAAGACCTGTGTATCAATGCATGTTTGTATTTGAGTCTGTGTGAATGCACTTGTGCATGTCTGGATGACTAAATGTGCTTTTTTGTATATAGTGTCTGTGTGAATGCATATGCGACAGGTGACAGAGTGTGTGAGGGAGAAGGTGACAGGTGGAAGAGTGTGGGAGGTTGTGACAGGTGGCAGAGTGAGGGAGGGGTTGAGTGGTGGCAGAGTGAGGGGGAGACACAGTGAGTGGGGGTGACTGGTGACAGAGTGAGGGAGTGGGTGACTAGTGACAGAGGGAGGGAGATAGGGGTGACTAGTGACAGAGTGAGGGAATGGGTGACTAGTGGCAGAGTGAGGGAGGGAAGAGATGACTAGTGGCAAAGTGAGGGAGGGAAGGGGTGACTAGTGACAGAGTGAGGGGATGACTGGTGACAGAGTGAGGGGGGGTGACTGTCACTAGTCACCCCATCCCTCTCTTTGTCACTAGTCACTCCCTCCCTAACTCTGTCACTGTGAAGGAAGGAAGGGGTGACTGGTGACAGAGTGAGGGAAGGGATGACTAGTGGCAGAGTGAGGGAAGAAAGGGATGACTGGTGACAGAGTGAGAGAGGGGGTGACTAGTGACAGAGTGAAAAAGGGGGTGACTGTCACTAGTCACCCCATCCCTCACTCTGTCACTAGTCACCCCCTCTCTCACTCTGTCAGTAAGGACAGAGGGGGTGTTTAGTGACAGAGTTAGGAGGGAGTGACTAGTGACAGAGAGAGGGATGGGGTGACTAGTGACAGTCACCCCCTCCCTCACTCTGTCACTAGTCACCCCCTCTCTCACTCTGTCACTAGTCACCCCCTTCCCTCTCTCTGTCACTCCCTCACTCTGTCACTAGAGTGAGGGAAGGGGTGACTAGTGGCAGAGTGAGGGAAGGAAGGGGTGACTAGTGACAAAGTGAGGGAGGTGGTGACTGTCACTAGTCACCACCTCCCTCTGTCACTACTCCCTCCCTCCTTCTGTCACTAGTCGCCCCCTCCCTCACTCTGTCACCTGTCACCCCCTCACTCTGTCACTAGTCACCCCCTCACTCTAGTGACAGAGTGAGGGACGGGGTGACTAGTGACAGAGTGAGAGAGAGGGTGACTAGTGACAGAGTGAGGAAGGGGGTGACACAGTGACAGAGTGAGGGAGGGGGTGGCTAGTGACAGAGTGAAGGAGGTGGTGACTGTCACTAGTCACACCCTTCCCTCCCTCACTCTGTCACTAGTCACCACCTCCCTCTGTCACTACTCCCTCCCTCCTTCTGTCACAAGTCACCCCCTCCCTCACTGTGTCACTAGTCACCCCCTCACTCTGTCACTAGTCACCCCCTCACTCTAGTGACAGAGTGAGGGACAGGGTGACTAGAGACAGAGTGAGAGAGAGGGTGACTAGTGACAGAGTGAGGAAGGGGGTGACTAGTGACAGAGTGAGGAAGGGGGTGACACAGTGACAGAGTGAGGGAGGGGGTGACTAGTGACAGAGTGAAGGAGGTGGTGACTGTCACTAGTCACCCCCTTCCCTCCCTCACTCTGTCACTAGTCACCCCTTCCTCACTAGTCACCCCTTCCCTCCCTAACTCTGTCACTAGTCACCACTTCCCTCCCTCACTCTGTCACTAGTCACCCCCTCCCTC